CCCCCCCCCCCCCCCCCCCCTCACCCCATTACTTTTCTAATCTTCCGCCCCTAACAGTTCCCTGTTGTATTTGTGTCCTACCTGGTCGTAGAGTCTATAACGATCGAAAGTTCGAAACAGCTGGTGTTTCATTGAACTGTACGTAAGTTAGGCATATGTTATTGAAGTGATGATTTCTCGTGAATTTCCATAATACTCTTGACGTGATGTCACAAGGATTAGCTTTGGAATTGTAGGAAAGTATGAACTTTTATTGTTTGTCCGCTGACAAAATACTGTAGGACATAGCTCTAAGGTGAAAAACCGTGAGTTTCCTCAGAGTAAAGAGTTTCTCCTCAATTATTTTATGAGCCTGAGTAGAGGTCCAACCAAGGATTGAACCCAGGTCTCCCAGCTTGAAGCGTGGTGACCACGACACAACAAGTGGTGTGAAGTAATAAGAGCAAGAAAATTGCTGCAAAACAAATATGTTACAAAACACGAGACAACATTGGGAAAAAACCCTAAATAACATGAGTTTGAATCAGTTTTTGTTGCGGTAATTTTATAGCTCGTATTACTAGACCCTTAACTCAAAGGCATTCACCTGGAAGTCAGTTTCCAGACGAAGGGCTTTTGCTAGATACGTCGAAGTTCTTTTTGTATTTTTCAGGTATTGGTATCTCCTACAAAACGTTAACGTTGCTGTTGCTAATTTCACTAGCACTAACAGTGGATATGGTTAAGAGTAATCAAATTACTGTAATATCATTTTCATAAAACATACAGTGAAATTAAGGTTACAATGGTGCTACTGCTACATGTAACGTGCATGTTTGAAGTGTATTAAAATCTTTTGGTGAAATCGGCAGCGTAAATTTTTTTCGGCAAGAGAATAATGTGAAAGTTTCTTCCTGTAAATTACTGGACGAGGTCTTAGTTTCCACAACTAAACATTTTAGAGGAATTAAACTTTCTAGGTTCAAGTTGTGAATAGTGAGGTGTGGATAATAATAACGATTATTCTCGGCTTTAATTAGAATTATACTCATCTTGTATCCACATGCCCAAAATGCTTCAAGATGGAGATTGGCGACTAATTTTTCATTTAGACCATAAAAACGTTCTTTATTTAATAAATAAGTGTGCACAAACACTTTTCCTTCAGATTTCTTTCGTTGTACAGGCTGTTCTCTCAACATCTTCTTTTGCTCTGAAGGTATTGCATGATAAATCATTCCATCTAGAAACAGCTGGTTGAATTGTGGCATTTTTGTTGCAATTGGATGGTTCTTAATCACGTTGTAAAGATAGTCAATTGTAATTAACTTGAACCGTACAACAGACAGGAGATCATTGGTCTCTTCCAAACTACCAGGATCTACTGCATTTTGTTCTATCCAGTGCATCAAAGCATGAAACACGGTATTCTCTGATACGACAATCAAATCATTACTGCTAAGTAAATACTTCAGAGAAGGTTCTGAAAGATTAGCAAATTTCTTAGACTGCCAGTTTTGATCTAAAGGACTAAACGCCCTGGCAAGGACCAGCTGTAAAGTTTCGGCCAAATCTTCAACATCGTTCATATTATGTTTCACTTTAATCACATGCATTATTTTTGTGCTGATTCCAAATGTAGTAGCATTCTTTTGCAGGATATATTTGCATATTTTAAATACAAACTTTACATCATATTTATCAGCCAACTCTAAAACAGCGAGCAGTTCGTCCACAGTTTTATCGTTCAATATATCACCATGGTACATAGCCTCAAGAAGGTTTAAATGTGCATTTTCTTCTGATTCTGGGATTTTGATATGAACTTCTGCATCATGTGTTTCTTTCATGCCACTCGAGTGTAGAAGTGATCGAAAATATGTACTTTGTACGGAAAGCCAGAGACTGTGTATGTAGATCTTGTGCTGCCGTAGTGGGTCGCGCCTCTGAATGCTTGATGGTGGATATGGTGATGCGGATTTTTCACCTGGGAGTTCCTGCGAGGATGGGCTTCCAATCTGTTTATTTTCTGCCTGTTCGCAGGCTAATTCTTGAATCTCATTTTCTGCCTGTTCGCATTCTTGAAAGTTTCCGCTTTCGTTTTGATTTCCGGATTCATATTGCGCCGTCATTTCGAAAGATTTCATGTCTTGCTTTTCTGTACTTGTCTTAATCCTCTTCAGTTGTGGTTCCTCCGTCTCTTCCAAACTTCGCTTGATGCTTGAGTTTTCTAGTGAGACACTAGCAGGCATTTCATCGTCAGCTTCAGTGGCTGTAACACTGTTGAGAATGGTCGCCGTTTCCCAGTCATCTGACATGATATCAAACACCAATACTCGATCACTTAACTCGCACGTGTTGTATTGAGGCGCACACATCTTTGAAAACATCAATAAGTCACGAAGCCTCTTATCAATATCACACATTTCGAAAACAATTTGTCCGTTTAATAATACGTGAATCACGACGTGAATTGCTGCAGTGCTTTGTGCTTGTGTTTGTGGTAATGTAGTTACCCAAGTGACAGCGATATTTGATCCATGACCTGTGGCTCATTGACGTAAGCAGTAACTTAGACAGTGATTGGCTTCTCTTGAAATCATTTATTTTGATGAGCAAATCACTGCGTTACGGTAGCGACTTGCTCTTGGTTATATACACATACGTTTTCTAGCTGGTTCTAGAATTTCATTTCAAATGCGAACTTTTGACTGCCAGTCGGCAGTCTTGAACGGGTAAAGAGCAGGGACGTAACGTGCGGAGGAGGGGGAGGGGTGG